TAGGATGTACCGTGTGCCAAGTTATGGTCATTTCATCCTCACAGCCCTATAGCTTTAGTACTATGACTGTCTCCCTTTTACAGATGAGGAAACTGAGGCAGAGAGAGGTTCACTAAGTTGCCCAAAGTCATACAAGTGAGGGCAGAGTTGGGATTCAGATCTTGCCATTGTGCAGAAGGGGTGAACAAGTGGGCCCTAGAGTCCTTAAAAGGTATTGAAGGGTTTTGAAGCAAGGTGACAAAATCCTTGGACCAACATTCCCAAAGGCCCACTCTGGCTGCATTGTGGAGAATAGATTGTGGAAAATGGAGATTGTGAGAAGAGTTAGAGGCAGTGGTTTTCGTCCAGGCAAGAGATGACAGTAGTTGGACCAAGGTGATGGCAAAGTCAGGGAGCTTTGTGGCGAGACACGTTGGGAGGCAAAATGGGTGCTGTCTGGCTGGTGAAGGAGAGGGAGGGATTCCTGGGTTTCTGTTGGGCGTTCATGTCTGACATTTGAATAAAGTGTCTGCTAGAAATGGTCCAAAAGCCATCTGGCTGACTCTCCTGGGTCCCTCTCAGTCTGATTTTATATAAATGTGCCTTGGAGGTCAGCACCCCTGCCTCAGACTCAAAACCTCAGGACTCTAGCTGACCTCACCCCCTCATCTCACCCCAGATTGACGAGATGCCCGAGGCTGCCATGAAATCAACAGCCAACAAATACCAAGTCTTTTTTTTCGGGACCCACGAGACGTGAGTGGAGGCCAAAGGGGTATCGGTCGGGAGAGCCCCGGGCGGACTACTTTGGGGAAGGAGAGGTGGTGTTGGTACCCCTTTCACGTCGGGCTGTGCAGCTCAGGGGCAGTGAGGGGCTTGAGAGCACAGTCTCCCATCTCTCACCAGGGCATTCCTGGGCCCCAAAGACCTCTTCCCTTACGAGGAATCCAAGGAGAAGTTTGGCAAGCCCAACAAGAGGAAAGGGTTCAGCGAGGGGCTGTGGGAGATCGAGAACAACCCTACCGTCAAGGCTTCCGGCTATCAGGTGAGCCACCGCCTGCCCCAAAGACCCCCTGGAAAGCAGATGTGGCCATGGCTCTGGCAGCCCCCGGCCCACAGATGATGCTTAGTCTTCAGAAACTCCAGGGCTTTCAGGGTAGGAGCTCATCGGGGTGGTGGGAAGGGGGCTTCCTGCAAGAGGAGATAGGGTTGGGCTGTGTGGTGTAGTTGTGGTTAGGGACAACTGTGAGGCAGCAGTCTGGGGGGCAAGAACAGGATGGAGGCGGTAAGTGGGGACAGGCCTTTGTTGGGCCCAGTGTGAGTATAGGACACGGCCTTAACTCTTTCCACGAAGGCTTCCAGGAGGAGGTGCTTGTGAGCCGGGCAGGACGAGGCGGGAGGGTGGGGGGCGGG